TGAGGCTTTTGTCTACAACATCCGTGTAATTTTCCTTCCACTAAGTCTTCACTTTTTGGCATGAACCCGGAAATTCTTGATGCTAGCCCATCACGGCCTTTTGTTTACATTCACAACACCGTTACGCCCCATCTAATGCTGTACTTTTAGCCGCAAGATAAAGTTCTGGTTTCCACGGAGTTGAGTTGTAGTTGGAATTTGCGCCTGCCTGTTTCAGGTTCTCGAGTGAACTTGGATGTTAACACAGTGCTGTGGAAAGACCGCTAGACCAGGCTTAAAGGCCTAGGTTCCAGCACACATGCTTCCATTCCTATGTCACCTTGGACAAGCCACAAATTTATTACACGTGTAAACTGCCCTGGAGTTTGGAGATGAGATCCTTCGGAGAAAAGGGGTCTGTCCCGTGGGTACTGCTTACAGCAGCTATTCCCAGCATGAGACCCACGTGGTCTGTTCCAGGCCAGGGACCCGCAGGCACCCACAAAGGAGACTGGCCAACCCCTGGGGTTGTTCATCTGTGCCTTCCACCTAGCAACAGCCACAGGCAGAGGTTTTTCTTTTCTCTTAAAAAGGAACTGCTGCTCAGGGAGGACCCTCAATTGCTAGGCTGCTCAGGTGCCTGAAAACACTGAGTTTCGCAGGCAGGTTTTGACACTGTTGCTGAGGATACAAAGCCTGTGACTGACTGGTCACTGGAGGAGCTTTCTCAGGGCTTCACGTGAGGAGGACACTGCACAGTTTGAGTCCTGGGCAGGTAGGTGCTCAAGGCCGAACTGCAAAATGGTTTGTAATAAACCCACTGAATGTGGTTCATGTGGTAGCTGAATGAGGACCATGACTTATTTTGTGCGTGTCTATCATGAACTTTCAAGGCACTTTAATGAAAAGAGTCAAAGAAGCAGAGAATAAAGATTAACAGGCAATTAACGACTGTGGGAACCCCTCAACATTATAAAGGGCATCACGAACAATACCTTCGCCGGGAAGAATGGACCTACAATTACATACACGTGGCTGAGAACATGTAATGATTTCAAGGAATTTAAGGAGCAGGGAAAAGCAATCGCCAGTGTAGCTTGTAAGAAATCCAGCTGCCTCAGGGCTGACTCAGCTAGCGCTCCCCCTTCCAGGGACGAAACTGCCCCACGCTGCACAGGGCACAGAGAATTTTTGCATTACCCTTTCTGTATTTTACTTTATGCAGGATCTCTCTCCATGTCAGCATATAGATCATCTATTTCGTTTTTTATGAAGACTCCATGATATTCCTTTGTATTCATTTACCATCATTTACCAAGTTAATCCCCTATTAGTGGACATCTGGGTTGTTTCCTATTTTCTATTATTACAAACAATACTGCAGTAAAGCCCTTAGAAGATACTGTATCAATGTACACTTCTATGCAGTTTTTTGACATAAAAATATTGAACTCCTCTATTTTTCTTTCATTTTTTGATTACAGCTGACATTCAATATTATTAGTGTGAACAGCATAGCGGTTAGACATTTCTATAACTTACAAAGTGACCCCCCCACTCCGTAACCTAGTACCCCCTGCACCACACAGCTATTGCAGTGTTACCGACTAGATTCCCTGTGCTGTTCTTCATGTCCACAGACTGTTCTGTAACTGCCAGTTTGTGCTTCCTCACTTCACCTTTCTGCCCCAGTCCCACACCCAGCTCTCATGAGTCTCTGCATTCTCTGTATCTATGAGTCTGTTTCCATTTGTTTTCATTTATATTGTTCTTTAGATTCCACACACAAGTGAAATCATATGGTATTTGTCTTTCTCTGTCAGGTTTATTTCACTTAGCGTAATAACCTCTAGGTCCATCCATGTTGTCACAAATGGTAGGGTTTCCTTTTTATGGCCAAGTAATATTCCATTGTATGTATGCACCACTTCTTTATCCAGTCATCTATTGATGGGCACTTACGTTGCTTCCGTATCTTGGCTACTGGGAACAATGCTACAATGAACACAGGGATGCATGTTATCTTTTCAGTTTAGTGGTTTGTGTTCCTTAGGATGAATTCCTAGAAGTGGGATTGCTGGGTCATATGGCAGTTCTATTTTTAAGTTTTTGAGGACCCTCTGTACTGCCTTCCACAGTGGCTGCACCAGTCTGCATTCCCACCCACAGTGCACTAGGGTTCCCTTTCCTCCGCATCCTCACCAGCACTTGTTTGATTTACTGATGATAGCCATTCTGACAGGTGATGTCTCATTGTGGTTTTAATTTGCATCTCTGATTAGTGATGTTGAGCATCTTTTCATGTCTATTGAGCATCTGTATGTCCTCTTTGAAATCTATTAGGGTCCTTGCTCATTTTTAAATTGGATTGTTTGGAGGGGCTGGTGTTAAGTTTATGAGTTCTTTATAAATTTTGGGTATTAATCCCTTATTGGATGTATCGTTGGCAAGTGTCTTCCCTCAGTTGTTTTTTCTTTTAGTTTTGTTGGTTTCCTTTGCTGTGCAAAAACTTTAGTGTGATGTAGTCCCATTTGCTTTTTTTTTTTTTCATTTTCTTTGCCCGAGAAGATATATTGGAGAAAAAATATTGCTATGAGCAATGTCGAGAGGTTTTTGCCAATTTTTTCTCATAGTTTGTGATTTTGAGTCTTCAATCCATTTTGAGTTTTTTCTTGTACACGGTTGAAGGTGGTCTTCTTTTGCATGTATCTGTCCTGTTTTCCCAGCACCATTTATTGGATAGACTGTCTTTATCCCTTTGTGTATTCTTGCCTCCTTTGTCATAAGTTGACCATATAGGAGTGGGTTTATTTCTGGGCCATTGATCTGTTCCATTGATGTTTTTATGCCAGCACCCTGCCACTTTGCCTGCTATAGCCCTGTAGCGTGTGTGATATCCAGGTAGCGTGATTCCTCCAACTTTTTCTTTCTCAAGATTGCTGCCAACTATTCAGTCATTTGTGGTTCCAAATAAATATTATGTTTGTTCTAGTTATGTTAAAAAAAAAAAAAAAGCCATTGATATTTTGATAGGAATTGCATTGAATCTATAAATTACTTTGGGAAGTATGGACATCTTAACAATAATTATCCCTATCCATAAGCATGTTAATATGCCTCCATTTATTTGTATCTTCTTCAATGTCTTACAATTTTCCAAGTACAAGTCTTTCACCTCCTTGGTTAAATTTATCCCTATTTTTTTTTAATTTGTTAATTTATCTTTTTTTATTGCTGACACTGTTACAGATCTCCATCCCCCCCTTTGCCCACACCCACCCAGCCCCCGCCCCTCCCCCCATACTATTGTCTGTGTCCATGGGCTGTGTGTGTATGTTCTTTGGCTAATCTTTTACTTTTGATGCAATTATAAATAGGTTTTCTTAGTTTGAGAGTTTGGTACTGGCGGATAAAAAGATTTCTGAATATAAATTTTGTATCCAGCTACTTTACTAAATTCCTTTATCAGTTCTAATAGTTTTTTGGTGGGATCTTTAGGATTCTCTATATATAGTATAATAAATTTTTTTAAACCCTTTTTTTGTACTTACGTTTTCCCACAAAAGATCATTTTCCTTCAAGAACTGGCCTGCTAAGTTTCTGTGGTCTCTGAATGGTATTTTTAGTTCAGTGTGGGGAACTAGTCTGTTGTCCCCTAGTACTGGATCAAGCTAACTCACCCTTACTAGTACAATGGAAAATTTCAGCAGCAGACGTTTGGTGACCTCGGATACCTTGCACCCTCTACACTTGCTAAAGTGAAAACATCCTAGGGAGGGTAGGTATTTGCCACATTAGTCTTAAAACATTTTTTCATTTACAGGGATCTCACAAACCGAGTGACAGCCAGCTGCCAGCGTCATGAGCCATTCAGGTGGGCTGAACTTTAAGATACTTTATGTCTTCCCAAATCCTTTAAGCCAACTGAAACGAAAATTTTTTCTTTCTAAAAGAAAAAAATTGATCACAGTGAAGGTTCACATTAAAGACTAACTTTAATGGGTCTTTTAATTAGCTTTCATCACTGGTACAAAAAGGTATACTAAGAGAAATGTTTTCACTAAAAGTAACAAACTAAAAAGAGCACTAAACCAACTAACCCTAAGTATTACACAGGTAGTACGTCAGTTTGCCTTAATGAAGGTCAATAAAGCAGCCCACTCTGAGTGCCCACTACGGAGCACTGTTTCCAGCGTTCCACGTACCAAACCTTTAGTCCTTGGAATAACCTGGAAGGAACAGAAGCAAAGTGACTCACGCTTGTCACATGACTGGGCGTGGCCACGGTTGGAGGCAGCAGATGAGGCCACAGGCCTCGCCAGTTCCTGCCAGACAGGGCCCTTCCTAGCACCTTGCACAAGCTGCCTTGTTGAAGAGAAACAGGACGCCCTCACGATGCCGCACCCACTGCCTTAACCAGTGTGTTTTTCTGACATACCGGACATCTATTTAAATTTATTTTTATCCTCACATTAGGACATGCCTATTGATTTTAGAGGGGAACAGAGGGAGAGAGGGAAACAGCAACTGGTTGCCTCTTGCACGTGCTCTGACCAGGGACTGAACCCACACCCGAGCTACATGCCCTGACCAGGAATCGAACCCGTGACCTTTCAGTTTGCAGGATGGTACTTCCACACTGGCCAGGGCTTTTTAAAATCTTGTTTGAAGTGCGCTTTGGCTTGTTCACTCTGTATTTCATTTTCTACTTATTGCCCACTTTCATGACGGCAGATGGGTTCTAGAGGCCCTGAAATGTTTGAAACAAAGAACAACACAGACGCCCACAGCAACTCTCAACACTGGGTCAAGCTAGAGTATGTGGTTGGAAGAGGTAACATTAAAAAGAGCTCAAAAAGGGCAGCCTGAAAAACAGGGCGCAGAACCAGGCCGTGCTCCTTCCAACCCAAAGGGCTGGCTCACAACACTGGTTACATCCTAAACTGCATCTAAGAGGCGCATCACTGTATTCATTTGCTTGTTGCTGTTTTTCTGACTAGAAGACACAGAGTCACTTTAGATCACTTCCATTAATTTAATATTTTCATTTTATATCCAGATGTCACATTTTCTACATTAAAATATAGTCATGCTGACTCCCCCCAACACCCTCAGAGAAAAAAGTGAAGAACTTTACACAACTTGAAGGATGGAATGCCAGAGAAGTCGCTATTGCACCCAAGAAACGAAGGACATGGAGCACACACGCAGGGGGCAGGGCGCAGTGCCGGGAAGACGGCTCAGGGCCAGGGCCTGGGCCCGCGGGAGCAGGAATTCAAAGGCTGAAGCTTTTAAATGCTATCACTTGTGCCACAAGACGACCCTGAAGAGGCAGAGATAGGTCAGAAAGCAGGACCAACTAGGGGGGTCTTCCAAGGGCCGCTCTCTAACAGAATTTAAAATATCCACATGGACAGGAGCGCTTTCTCCTCCCACCATACCTCCAGCACCTGGCAACGCTTTAGAAAATTACACCACTGTTAGCATGTTCACGTGTAGAATGGGTACAGGTGGTGGTTCGTTGTTTGACTGTACCCCCAACTCTTCCCAATGACGGTTACTCTAGTTCTCTTCATTAGGATCCCTCTGCATGAAAGCCCAGCGGGGATCGAGGCAAGGCACCCCACCAGCACCAGATCAGCGCCAGCCGTGCCAAAGCCGTGCGCTCCTGCGCTCCTCGGAGGGAGGGTGAGCAGCCAGGCACAGGAGACCGAGCCTGTGCGCACGGACGAGCGAGAGGGGCTCCTTTTCTGACCTACTCATTAAAGAGGAAGAGCAGGCGGACCGTGCCCGCCATCTGCTCGGAGCAGCAGCACAGGCCCGGCGGTCTGCCGACTGCACGGACTCCCCGGCTCCGGAGAGGGCGCTGGGCTCTCGAGAGGAGGCTTCCTTCGGCTCGGCCCTGCCCCGCCCCCTTTCGAAGATGAGAGCGCTGTAACTTCTGCTGGCGATGCTCTCGAGGGGGTGGACGGGAAGGTCTGGAACATCAAATAATGAGGACATCATAGGCAACTAGCTACCCACTATATACAGATACACACGTCAGTAAGGAAACCTCACCTCCATCCCTGCAGCTACTTTTCACAAAGCATCGAAAATCCAGGATTTCTGAACAGGGGACATTTTAAAGTCTGTTAGCAGTTTTAAGACACGGCAACACTGGTACAGGATGTCACCTATCCTGTTCTTAATTACAGGGCAACATGGTAAACTCCAATACAAAGGTGGCGATGGGGAGTGCGAAAGGACACAGACAACAGGACCAGTATGTCACAAGGGTATCGAGCCAGCGACGAGTGGCAGCTAGTGCTTCGCGGAGTCCCGTGGGTAGAATTCGCTCAGGGTGCTCTGAGGGATCCTCTTCAGCATTTCTTTGGGGAAAATCCGGAGCAGCTGCCAGCCAATGTCCAAAGTCTCAAAGACAGTGCGGTTTTCATAAGGACCTTATGAGAAAATTGAGATTGGATGAATACAGGCAAACGACTTCAGCTCACTGGTGTCCTTCAGGACGCACCCTGCTACGTGGCCATCCCTGTGAGCACAGCGCGAGAAAGAAGAGAGACGGCCGTGGGGCCTCCCCAGACTGACGTGACTGACTGTGCAAACGCGGGCCCAGCCCATGAGCCCCTTGCGAAGCAGAGCAAAGGGGAAGGCCCGTGGCCGGAGACGGCAGGCAGGCCCCTGGGCAGCAGGGAGGAGGGAAGCAGCTTTTCGGACAACTGGGGGGGGGGGGGGAATCTGAAACCACACCCAGGGCTGTGCCCAGAGGGCAGTGAGTTCCCCAGGGGCAGAGGTTGCTACAGACACTTAGAAAGCCTGGAAGGCCACCTGAGCACATGGACAGGTGAGTGGTTTCCAAAGTTGTTATTGTTTTTATAAGTAGCATAAATCAGCCTCATCATGTAAATAAATCTCACTTCTTAACGAAGGAATCAGAGTGGCTGAAGTTCTGGATTCTTTTCTCTACCAGAAAAACTTCAATTTTACTTAAAAAAAAACACACACAAAAAAACCCACACTTGTATATTTGGGGGATTTTAATGTTAATAAAAAATGTATCATATTAACTAGAAAAGTGCATAAATCCTAAAGTGTGTAGCTTCATGCATTATTCCAAAGTAAACACATCTGTTCCAAGTACCACTGAGTTCAGGGAGAGTACTCCCAGCATTAGCAGGAATGGCAGGGGAGAGAAACCAAGCAAAACAGCTTGAAAACCCTACATGTGCGATGAAAGGAAAACCATTATGGACTTTTTAATAGAGGACCAACCAATAAAAGCTACTCTGGCGACGGTGGCTGGGGGGCAGGGGGACTGGTGGGAAAGTCGGCCCCAACGACCAGGGAGTACGAAACCAAAGACATGGAGCAGGTCTTAGGACTCAAAGCATGGCCCCCCTCAAAGGGCGGTCAGAGGTCAGCAGCCGCAGCGTCACCCAGGAACTCGCAGGCAGTGCCCGGCTGCTGAGCTGGGCCTAACCAGAGCAACGGCCGTGCCAGAGGCGGACAGACCTGGAGCGGGGGCTGCTCCGCAGCTGGTCAGCTGGGGAAAAACTTGCGTTCTGGCCATGCTGAGCCTCAGGGACAGCAGCCTGAACCCTGGTGGCCCAGCTGAGGGTGTGGGGTTAGGGTTTCAGAAAGAGGGTAAGGATCAGCAGCAGCACAGGGAAAAAGCTAAAGCTTGGGGAACAGAACACAGGAAGAACAGGCAACTAAGCCTCTGAGAACATAAACAATTAAGCAGGAAGATAAATCAAAAAAGGAGATGAAAACAGATGGGTCAGAAAGTCCCAGGCCCCCCAAGCCAGAGGAGTCGGCTGCAGAGAGGCGGGGAGGTGGAGGAAGCAGCTGTCTGTCGCTGAGGGGGAAGGCAGGCGGGAGCTACAGAGCCGGCTGCCGGGAGTAGGGGGGCAGGCCTGGGGGGGGGGGAGGCAGAGGGGGAGGAGCCAGAGTGCTCAGTACAAAGATGTGACAGGGCTGGGAGAACCTCTTTTCTAATCAGAAGAAAAACTATACAGAGACCAATGTAAAATCTCTCAGGCTGGGAAAGAGAGCTTCAGGGCTACATCAGAGGCTGTTGATGTTTGTAAGAAAAGAGTCACCTTACCCTGAGCAATAAAGTTCCTCTCAAACTTCTGCAGAAATTCCAAGTAGAGAAGATCGTCTGAGGTGAGGGCTTCTTCTCCAACCACGGCTTTCATGGCCTGCACGTCCTTACCAATAGCGTAGCACGCGTACTACAGAGGGAAAGGTTCACGGGACAGAGGGAAGACTTTATCAATGTTCAGTAATCAGCGCCACACACGTGTAGCTTTAGCTGTCTTCATGAGAGACCACAGAAGGAAAGTCACATTATTTACAAACACAATTCACGTTAAGTAAAACTCATGAAAACCTCAGAAGGACTTTATTAAAGTCTCACTGAAAAAGTCTTCAGGCATGCAATAAACACTACTACAAAAAGACACTTGCTTAATGTGTCAATGAGCTTACATTTTATAGGGCATTTGAGAATCAGAACTCAGACCATGGAGTATTCCATCTGGAAATTCCATTCAAGGAAAGTATTTGTGATATCAGGTATACCATTTCTACTTCAAATTTAACAGTATTTCTCTTTACTTGTGCCTGCTGCACAGCCTCATAAGGCTACGGAAACGAAGGGATTCACAGAAAACATGAAGCTGCATCCTTGAGAGTTCCAGTGACTGCTTAATGTGTTAACCAAGAAATGTGAGAGTACCCTTTCGGGAATGCCCCATAATTATTATTAAGGTTACTAAGAAAAACTTGGTGTTTTTTTTTTAATTTAGAAACTACCTTACATAGCATTAAACAAGGGTTTCAAGAAAATGATTTTTAATCTTGGTTATCAGCATCCGTCCTTATGAAAAAAAAGAGTGCTTGGTTCTAATGACTTTTTGTATTTCACATGAAGTCTATACTAAAATTCTATGTGGAGGGGGGGAAAAAGGATATGGGAGGAAGAGAAGAGGTATAAGAGAGCAGAAAGAATGGACCAAAGGTATTTACTTCTTTAAACATCACCCTTAAGAAAACATACGTACCAGCTGGTTAGATACATCAGCGTGGTCCTTTCTGGTCATACCTTCTCCAATAGCAGACTTCATTAACCGTGATAATGAGGGCAGCACGTTAATAGGTGGGTAAATCTTGGGTAGAATGGGAGGGGAAAACATTGTATGTAAGTACAAAATTGAAGCTTTCCTGGTAATACAGAAGCATTTTGAAATTCATTATTATTCCTTTAATGACATTAAACCATTGCATTGTTTCCTAGATGAGTCTGAACATGACTCCCTGGTACAAAACACCTTATGGCACATTTCTTTTGCAAACCAAACCCCAAAAGTGAAACCTATACTCAGTACAAGATTATACTGAAAAACTGAATTCTCAGTATCTGCCTACAATATCAAATCCAAGTGATCTTCTGAACTGACTCAAAATCACATATAAAATAAAAAGATTAACAATAACTCCACCTAAAGGGCACTCTATTACAGAACCTTAAATAACACTATCTTTGATTATTCAGCCACAAGAAAAGAATGAAATTGCGTCATTTTCAACAACATGGATAGACCCTGAGGGCATTATGCTAAGTGAAACAGTCACACAGAAAAATATAAATACCTTATGATCTCACTTATATGTAGAATCTAAAAACAAAACAAACAACAACAAAACACCCTGAACTCATGGATAGAGAGAACAGATTGGTGGGTGGCTGGTTGCCTGAGGCAGGAGTGGGGGTGGGTGGGCAAACGGTGAAGAGGGTCAAAAGGTACAAATCTCCAGTTAAAAAACCAGTCAGTCAGGGGGATATAACATACAGCATGGTGACCATGGCTCACAGAACTGTACTGCATGTTGGAAAGCAGCTGCGTGCCCCAGGTGGTGTGGCTCAGTGGATTAAGCATCAGTCTGCAAACCAAAGGGTCACCAGTTCAATTCCCTGTCAGGGCATGTGCCTGGGTTGCGGGCCAGGTCCCCCTGTGGTGGGCATGTGAGAGGTAACCACACACTGATGTTTCCCTTTTGCCCTCCCTTCCCTTCTGTCTAAAAATAAAATGATTTTTTTTTTTTTAAAGTAGCTAGGAGAGTGGATCTTAACAATTCTCATCACAAGGAAAAAAAAAAAATTAACTACGGTGATGGGTATTAACTGGACTTACTAGGGTGATCATTTTGCAATATATACAAATACTGAATCATTATGTTGTATACTTGAAACTAATAGGCAAATTATTCCCTTAATAAAAAAATAAAACAGGAAAAAAATCTGTTTTTGTATTACTATCAATATTGGTAGATTATACCACTATGGAACAGAATATCCAAAAAAGTTCTTTAAAACAACTGACTCCATTTTAAGGCACAGTAAAGTGGAAATTTAATTCTTAATTCTAGCACTCTTATCCACACTAGGATTTTGTAGTTAAGTCCCCGATCAATGTCACTGATTAGCTCTGTGACTTTAAGAGAAACAACACACAGAACACCAGTTTTAGCATAGGCAAATTGATATAAACAAGAGTTAAGTCCCTATGGCATTTCATCAACTTTAAAACAAAATGACATTGAATTAAACAACATTATTCAAGGATCTGCTATATACAGAAATGACAAGTTTACAGCCATATCAAAATCAATTTAAGCTATTTTTAAAAAAGAAAAAAATTCCTAAGAGCAAAGCCCCAGTCACCGACGAGTAGATCTGTGCATTTTACGGCACTGCCCACATGTCACATACCTGTCGGTTGTGCAGCTGCCTGTCCACATAGATCTGCCCCTCTGTGATATATCCAGTCAGGTCAGGGATGGGGTGAGTGATATCTACCGGAAGAAGACACTAGGCACTAGTTAAAGTCACCCCTCTCATACAGACAAACCCAGAGGATGTCCATCTGCAGTACCTAGGGCATTACCTACGGCATTACCTAAAGCCGCGCTATATAAAATAATTTTCTGTGACGATGGAAAAGTTCTATATCTGTGCTGTACAATATGGCAGCCACTAGCCAAATGTGGCTATTGAGCACAATAAAAATGTGGCTAACATAACTGAAGAAGTTTACCGTATTTCAAATTTACCTAATTTTAATTAACTTTAGAATGTAAACTGCCAAGTGTGGCTGGAGGTTACTACATTGGACAGTTAAATGTATTTGGTTGCAGCATAGACAGACATGTGTTGGCACATGGATAAACTGGCTACAGGCCTAAAAAGCATGGCTTCTCCTAGCTGTGTGACCTCTCCCCTTAATATTTCTTACAATTCCATCTTAAACAGAAAGTTCCCTTGCAGAGATTTGCCGATGGACGTATACTAAGAATATTCCCGGCTCACAAGCTGTTTCAGCATGGAAAATGCAGAGATGCTAGCCAAGTGAAGCACCACAATTCTGGCACCACCGAAAAGGTCATACAAATCGAGACATTTCTAAGTCTGCTAACAATTACATACAGTAATTGTGTAGCTACTTTTTGAACAATTTTCATGTCACAGGCAGCACATGAATTACGAACTCAGACGGCCTGGGCTCTAAAGCTATCACTTCCTGGCCCTGACAGGCCACTCGCCTGCCTGTGCCTCAGGTTAGAGACTCTCTCAAAGTCGCTACGGGGACAAATGAGCCAATATTTATAAAGCACTCAGAACAGTCCTCAAATATCATGAGTTATTACGGTTTCTGGAAGATATCTTGTAAAGGTGCTTTATAAAAACCGAGGTAAGGACTAAAAGGCTGACGGCTTTGCTCCAGGAGCTGCGCTGAGCGCCCGCTCCGCAGGCGGCGGCCTGCGTGCTTTCCTGCCGGTAAGCTAACAGTCGCTTTTAACCAGCCTTCGGTGATCCTCTGTCTCTGAAGTCTTGTGGCATTTACTATTGTGATTTTCATTTCACACTTATGCTACCTTATACTATCTGTGCACATACATAAAAAGTATCTAATCATTACGTTGAGACAATACTTTTTTTTTTTTTTTAGTTCCTTATATGTAGACCAGTGCCCTACAAACAGCAGGAACTCAATAGTACCAAGTAAATGAAAATTTAAAATTCAAATTATAAAAAAGTTGTTTTTCTTCCACAAAAGCATAATGATAATTATGAGCCGTTTCAAATGAACACTTGTATTTGGGTACATTTCACTGGTTAATGTGAGCTCTTGAAGGATAAACTCGCATAAGAATTTCAACTCGAAAAGGTAGACAGTCTTCTCTCTTGGACTCAAAGTCCCTACAAGAATTAGGGCTGCCATCATCCCAAGACAAACACTTACCATCGTTGGGCATGGTGAGAATAGGGATTTGAGTAATAGAGCCGTTTCTACCTTCCACTCGACCAGCGCGTTCATATATTGTGGCTAAATCTGTATACATGTAACCTGGGAAACCTCGTCGACCAGGAACCTCTTCCCTGGCAGCTGAAACCTGACAGTAAGCCCAGGAGGAAAAGATCACACACCAGAACATGGAAAGTAAAGCTCTGTTTGTTTGAACATGCCAAATTACAAAGCTGGAGTATTATCTTTCTCATTTAAATACTGTCTCTAAAAGATCATTTAGGAAAATCTAACAACACAAGTTCACATTAGCCTGCAAAGAAAATGTTGACAATTGGGCACTATAAGGTTCTTTTAGGCTTTTTTTTGGTTTGTTTTTGTGGTTTTTTTTGTTCTTGTTAAAATGTCACAATAAAGCAAATCTTCAAATAGCTTGCTAGAAGAAAATGTGCTTGCAATTTTATAAACCAAAGGAAGTTAATTTAAAAACTATGAGAACTTCTTTGTTCCCAAGATTTATTTCATGCCAAGATCTTGCCGTGTTTCTGTAAGCTCAACCTTAAAGGGCCGAAAGGGAAGGAAATCCGTACCGGGAGGCATTTGGTGTACTTTACATTCATTATTTAATCCTCACAACATCCCTATGAGGAAAGCAATGTTGTTAATGCCAATATTATAGTTATAACCAAAGGTCAAATAATTTCCCAAAATCACAGAGCCAGGAGTCCATTCACGGCACAAAATAAGAATAGTAACAAATGGTCCTCCTCTCAGGGACGTACATACTAGAACGCAGGTGTACCTGTTAATCTACCACTGCTAACAACCCGAAAGCATGAAGGCCACGCGGAAGTGCTACTTCAGCGCCTGCCAGAGAGTGTGCTAGGGCGGCGCCGCTCAAAGCCTGGCCTGCACACCAGCTTTTATCAACATCCAGTGCAAAAATACAGACGAGCACTTAGAAAACTTTAATGGCAATTTAACAGAATAACTTCACGTCTGTTGAATCTAATAAAAAACGTCTAGGCCTGTAAACTCTATACTTTTTATTTCACTTTTCTAGTAACTCATTTTTGTTGTATTTTCGGAAAGTATGGGACTGCAACAGGTAGGGTGGGGTGAGTCCTCCAGTGACAAGCACTGCAGCAGAGATACGGGTCTTAAGAGTTTTAAGAAGCTACATAGCTTGTCTCTTCAGAAGCCTTTCCTATTGACATGCTTAAAGGAGGAACTTACTCAAAATTTCAGTAACTTGCATTAGAAAAAACACCCTAAACTTCTGCGTGATAACTCTAGAGTCTTAATATTGCTCCTAAGTAAACACTGAGTTTTCCAAAGGAAAAAGATGCTCGGAAGGGCACTGCCAGAATGGGGCCTTTTTTAAAAATACTAACATCATTAAAAACCAAATTCTGTAAAGGTTTAGGAATTGACGGTCTGGGCAGACAGACTTCCTGGGAGAGTAACGGAAAAGGCAGCCTGCAACAGCTACCATCTATTCTATCTTAGAATCAAGTCTTAATCCATGGAGACAGGACAGAATGATGAACAGGCCAGTATCTTAAATCTCTTCTTCTACTCATTTCAACTCAAGTGACAGAAAACAAGCTGGATTTTCCTTTCTGATTAATCAAGGTATTCTACTAATATATGAGCAATGAAGTTTTAAAAACATGATGAAAGTAAATAAAAATTTAACAAAAGGACAAGAATATTCTGAAAATTAAGCCATTTCAATTAAGAAAAAAATTACCTCTCGAAGTGCTTCAGCATAAGAACTCATGTCTGTTAGGATAACCAATACATGTTTCTCACACTGATAGGCCAGAAATTCGGCTGTGGTTAGAGCCAAGCGCGGAGTGATAATTCGTTCAATACTGAAATGGAACATTAAGTCCTATGTCACTCAGATAAAAAGGCCGAAGACAAAAGAAAATGAGATTCTAGAAATAATAGTACAGTCTCCCTCTAAAAGTTTTACGTAAATTAAGGAGGGTAAAGCAATTATTACTTTAAAAGTTCTTAAATAAGGCAGACTTATTTTAGGTACTTATAGAATAAGAATCACTTCTACAAAGTTAAATTATTTTATAAATTTCTCAGAACTACATAGTTCTCAAAATGGAGAGGAGAGAAAGAAAGAAGAAATAGGGGCCAGATTCCTCTGGTAAGAAAGAAAGATCATTTACTGAGTACAGACTGCGTGCTAGGTAATTTACACATATTCTTGCATTTAACAGGCACAACAAGCCTGAGAGTCAAGTGCTATTTATCACTTTTTCTGGAAGAGAAAACTGAACTTCAGAGCCTAAGTGATTTGCTCTAAGCCAAATAACTATCAAGAAGCAGAACTGGAATTTAAAGTTTTCCCATTCTTAAACCCATGCTGCTGTCATTATTATACCATTTTACCTCCCTAGACAGGTAACATTTTTCACCTGAAGGGTGAACATCAAGAAATAGCTGTCTTTACTTACGTAGGGTCATTAGCCAAGTTCAAAAAGAGGCAGACATTGTCCATGGAGCCATTTTCTTCAAAGTCAGACTTGAAGAACCGAGCGGTTTCCATGTTTACCTAAGCAGTAACGACTTCATCAGGGCTAGCAGAAGGAAAGTCCTCAACATGCATTTCTGATGAAGGCCCAAGCTATTGACCTGCATTGCTCCTTTTAAAGTTTCAAGTACTCAAAAAATTTTCACAGAAGCCAACAAAGTAAATAGCCTGCTTTGGGCACAAAGAGATTTATTCTTACATTTCATAGTCAAATGCCAAATTTTAATCTTTAGTTTGCCCAAAATGCCAAGCTGCAACTTCTCTAAATAGAGATAAATTCAATGATACGAGTGATTTTCTACACTGTTCTAAGAACATAAGCAATTAGTTTTATATTTCATATTAAACCAGAAAATAATTTTACTTACACCCATAGCAGCAAATACAATTGCAAAGTTTTCCTCACTGTAGTCCACTACATCTTTGGATTTCTTTACCAAACCAGCCTGGCGACAGATCTGAGCTGCAATCTGATGAGGATTACAAAGCACTGAGTTGGAATCTAAAACAACAAATCTGCAACAAAACAACTTTTATCCTAAACTTGTTGATGATATGGTTATAGATGAAATTGGGAAGTTTTAAAGGACTTTACCCAACAAAGCCATTTTGTACTTTTTGCAAAGATCTCTTAGGGTAACCAAGAAGACAGCTATCATGCATGGACAAAGGCTCAATGTAATAGTTTATATAAACTGTAATGTCGGGGATGAGTGCGGAACATTCTTTGGTTTCTCATTACCGTGAAGCGTTCAGGAATTCTTCCTTGCTAAATTTCACAGCAAACAGATCCTAGCCTCACCTCATTGTGCGGTAATCCTGCCGCAGAGAAGATGGGGATTTTCTGCCCCCGAGCAATACTGTTCATGCCGTCGATGGCCGAGATGCCCGTCTGAATCATCTCCTCTGGGTAGATGCGACACTGGGGGTTGATCGGCTGGCCTAATGCGGTTCAGAGAGGAGAAACTGTTCTATGCCTGCACATGAAGACTAAAACCATAGAAAGCATTTCTTTCTATGCCTAAAATATCAGTTATTTCTGAGACTGGTTAAATAATTTTTTCCACTGGTCTTGCACAAACTCAAGAAATACATGATAGCAGAACCCAAGTTCCTAAAGTGAGGAAAGGTATAGTAAATATGAGAATGATCCTAATTTCAAAGCCATGGCTTTGCTGTTTACATTTCAGGTATAGCCTGGTGACATCTTAAGACATTTTATATAAAATTTTAGGACAATCTCTAGGAAAAATAAATTTATTAAATAACAAATCGTTAATTATGGGGCATGTTGGTGATTAGCTCAAAATATCACAAAAATCACTCTTTACGTGACAAAGGGATAAGCTAAATAGATACAAGCCGCTTCCCCCAAGACACAGAAATCCATTTCCTGTCCTCACCCATGATGTCAAGGAAGTCTTCAGCCAGGACAGCCGGACCTCTGTCGATGGGTTTTCCTGACCCATTGAATACCCGACCTGTAAAACGGTGGTACAGTACAGAGAGGACAAGGACACAAACATTCATCATTTTTGAAAAGGCTAATGGAAACAGGTTGAAAAGGAAACAGATCTCTGCTCAGAATGAGTAATCTTATCGGTTTACCAAGCATATCCTCAGACACTGGTGTTCGGAGAATATCCCCGGTAAACTCACAGGATGTTTTCTTGGCATCGATACCTGAAGTTCCTTCAAATACCTACAAAGAAAGAGAAGTAATCAGAAGGGTAAAAGAAATTTAAAGCATAAGCATTTAAATTTTGTCAGCCCTTATGAAGTCATTGTACATAAATGTACACTATTTTTAATATCACAAACACAACCTCTTGACAAGGGTCATGCCTGTAGGACATCAAATCCTACAATCAAGATAAAAATGTTTTTTACATTTTTAAACAATTGTTTAATTTGGAAAAAATAAAAATAAAAATAAAATATGCATCAGAGACCTTAGGTGGCTCCACATAGCCCTTTATAGAAATTCTGCTGACACGTGCTCTAGACTACTTTTTAGGGGAACATATTATTTGAGAAAACTGGCATTTCCCATCATTGGTGACATTAAAAATTAGGAATTATAGGACACAATTTAAAGAAACAAGACTCAGATGTCATTCTGGTTTCCATACTATAAGCTGTGATTTATGCTTTTCATCTCTCTCCTACCTGATTTTCCACTTCATTTTATCCATTTAAAAAAAAAAAATGCCACCTTACTGGAGGAGCTTTTGGGCTAGAATGGAGATAAGTAACTGACATTTGGCAAAAAAACATGCAAAAACAACTTTTTCCCCACAGCTAGTAATCAATCTCTAAAGATACACTTATTCAATGATGACTAGAAAGAACACACGATGTTCCTTATATTTTTGTAATTAGGAAAAAGTTCAACTGGCCAGGTTTTGAAAATGATGCTTACCTGAACCACTGCTTTGGAACCACTAACTTCTAGAACTTGCCCACTTCTCTTTGTGCCATCTGGTAATGTCAAGTGAACAATTTCAGCGTATCTGGGAAACTAGGGGGAAAAAATCAATAACTATAGGATTAGGGGTTAAAAAGTTAGATTTAGGGTTAGGGTTAAAAACTTCCCAAAACACTCCGCACGCTCTGTCTTGATCACAGCATGAATCCACATGCGATCCCACCACCTCCCTTACACACAAAGTCCTCCAGTAGTTCAAGTCCTTCAAATGCTCATCACTGGTACAGACACTAGCAGACCAGCATAAGGTACAGAGAGAAGAGTCTTAAATCCATGAAAACACAGTAATTAAAATTTTTCCTTCCGTGTATAAAGTTTTGAGACTACAGAAAGGTATAGAACTTAGAAACAACCATGTTCCCCCTACTCAGGACAGAAGTTGCTGTGTGTATAACCTGGCTGTGTGTGTAACCACCTATGTGCTTTGGGGGCAGGATAAAATGCAACTAAATAATAAAATAATGACTTATAATAAACAAAAATCCCCCCAGTCTAATTTTCCTAACCAGGTATGTATTCTCTTAATCCATGCTTAATATTTTAAATGCATGTTTCCAAAAATATAGTGTGGATTTATTTATATAAATGGCAACACACTAAATATACCATCCTGCAACTTTTAATTTGGCCTTATGTTTTGGATCATAGTAATATTTACCTCATTTTATCAACATAATCCACTGAAAGATGCACCACTATTTTATGTAATGTGAAGGAAAGCACCTGCCAATTAAACTATGACAGACGGTTCACTGTAACTTGATTTTGGATATGCTAACATGTGAATATATGAGCATCTTAAAATTAATGTTAGAACAGATACAGTGCAAATCAAATAAAATCACACCACATTTTATTTAGTTGTTTTCCCAATGGAGTTCAAAGCTGTTCCAAATTTACAGTTAAAACATGCTGCAATGAACATTTTCACGTGTGCTCCTTACAGGCTATGCCCATTCTCTGCCAAATTACTCTGCAAACAAACTGTATTAATTTACAATCTCCCCACCAGTATACAAAGTATCTTTTCCCTCCATCTCTGCCAGCTTATGTAACCATTATTAAACATTAATTTTTACTATTTGATAAATAGCATCTTTCCAATTCGTATTTTCCTGATTCTACTAATCCTGAGCATCTTTTCATGTTTACTGACAATTCAGGCTTCATTTCCTATGACTGGCTCATTAACATCTTTTCCTCACTTTTCAACTGAATCTGCTTTTTATTTATTTTTAGGAGTTTTACAGATTCTGGATACTAATTTCTTTGCAAATATCTGCTCCTGCTGTTTCTTGTCTTTTAAATTTGTTTATGGTATCTTATCACATGAAGTTTTAAGACTTTTTATATAATAATTTGCTTTATGATTTGTGCCTTGTGTACTGTTGAGAAAAACCTTCCAATCTGAAATTAAAATGGTCTTTTGTACTATCTTCTAAAATGGATTTTTCATATTCAGGTGTTTAATCCACCTGAATTTACTTTTGGTAAGTAATTTTACTTTTCTCCTCTTTATTCTTTTTAATACAGAGGCCCAACGCCCTAATAATATTCACCAAGTAGCACAACACGCCCCCCACTGCCTCGGAAGGCAGCCTTGACCGTCTGCCAAGTCCAATTCTCCGGAGGGAGGGGAGTTCTGAATTCTGCCCCCTGACCCGCCTGCTGACTCCTGCACCAAATCCGCATTCCTAACCACCTGTCTCTACCTGATGTTGGTGCCTGGGGAGAACCAACACCTGTCTTTTCTGTCATTTGTTAACATGGAATCTACACTTATTTTGTTTCCTTTTATGTCTTTCAACAAAGTTTTATAATTCTCTGGAAAGAGGTGCTAATAATTCTAGTTAAGGGGGCACAGAGACTACTACTGGTTTCTGCAGACTGATCTTGAATCCAGCAACTCTGCTTTGCACCTTGTTTCTAACAGTTTGCCCACTGAATGACTTGCGTCTTCTGTTTAGTTGGTATCGCCAAGAAATGATGACCAGCTACTCCTCTTTCTTCCTGATCCCTCGACGCCCTAGTTTCTTCTCCCGCAGCATCAGCTGGGTTCCAAGCAAGGGGTGGAGGGTGGCGGGCACGACAGGACTCCTCGCCCTGCGCCTGCTTTCAATGGACTGTCTCACAGCCTCCCCTTCAGTGTGCTGTGTGCTGGAGGGTGCAGTAGGTATCTAAGAATTTCAAAGTTTGGCCTTGCCCATATTTCCAAGAGACTTTTTTTTTTAAATGAGTAATTTTATCAGCTTTTTCTGTGTTTATTGAGGAAAGCATAAGCTTTTGCTAGTTTAATCCATGAATGAGCTGAATTACACTGATACATTTTCTAATATCAAGTATCTCAGTATTACTGGGATAAATTCTACTCTGTCATAATTGTGGTTATTTTTGCTAAATATCGAATACATGAGTTTATTTTATTAAGAATTTTGGGATCTGTGTTTATAAATGAAAATAGGTCTACTTTTCTTTTCTTATACTACCCTCTGTCTGGTTTGGGAATCAAAGATGCGCTCATTTCATTAAGATGAGTTGGGTAGCAAGCTCCATTTTCCTCTATTCTGATATAATTTGTGTAACCGTATTTGTTCCTCTCCCCTACATGTATGTTTTAAGTTAAAACAAAAGCCAAGAGCAAAAAATAATACAATCACTCTAAATCTGGTGGTATAAACCATTTTTAAAACTACTTAAAATTTACCAGCTTTTCCTCAGCTGGAGCTACAGATCCCAAACATTGAATGAAACTTTGTTAGCACTCTTAAAATTACTTCCTCAGAGATTTTTCTACGTCCTTCCCATCAGTGACTCTGGTAGCACCCCGCACTTATCCCTGACAGCACTAAATAAGCAGCCGTTTCCGCGCCTGCGTTGTGCCTGCTCCCCCACTGCACTATGCTCCCTGGCGGAGCGGCCACGCCTACTGTTCTCCACAGTATTTTCTGTGCTACTTCAGCACTGGAAATAGTTGTAACATGAATGAGTATTTTTAAACTTTTCAATAATATATTTACTAATATAAAAGTTTTGCATTTTAAAAATGAGCCCAGAATTTTATCTATTATAGAAGACAGAAGAAAAAGAAAGGATAAAGACACCAATAAACCTTCCTATACTTCCTCAAAAAACAGAAGTGATGGCTCTTTCACGAAACATTAATGGGCACCTGCCTAACCCTGTACAACTGGAAAGCTATGCCCTGAGGTTTCCAATCAAACTGCAGGCCAGCAGGAAACTGTGGCCGGAAGGTAAACTTGCTATGCTTAACCTTGACATTAATTTGTATAGGCACCTTGTAATGCACAGAAGTATTCTCTCAGTGATAGAGCTGAAAAGACAATGTACTGTGACCTTTCTCCTAAAAGAGGTTTCTCAATGTATCTCCCACTTCCAGAGAGGCCACAGGCCCACACACCTCCGCCGTTACTTTCCTCAACAAACAGGTAGCTGGGCACCTTTCACCCCAACCCACAATAATCGACAGTGAATTCCCGTGCTGGAGAGCGTATCACAGAAATTCTGTTCCCCGGAGAGATTTATCACAGAACTCAGGCAGATGACTTTGCCCAGGATATTCAATTACAGACTAGATTCTATGCCTCTTTTTCTAAGATAACACTAACATGTTTATAATTCTTATATACATGTGTGGCTACAATAACATGTAACTAAAGATTCAACAAACTGAAAAAGTAAAAACTATACTTTGTGTTGGGGGTTTAGTTTCTATTGAGATAATCTGTGTTTATTTATTTGATATTTGAATATCAGTGTCAAGCCCTCAAAGATATAAGCAACATTGTTTATTCGTTCACAGACCTTAAAACTTCAGTAGAGAAGACAAAAAAAAGGTAACAAGTAATTCTAACACATGGCAGTCTATGAAAAGAGCCATGATACCATGTATCTGTAATATTCTACAGGTTATAAAATATACTCATAACTACTACTGGGTTTTTTCCCCAACAGACCTGTGAGGTAGAGTGACAATTTTTTTTTTTCCTGCAGATAAGGAACTCTAGGTCCCTACCAAAATCCACAGTAGATCCAGTGCTGGAATCCAGTCTTCTGACATTTGATCTAAGTCTCAAGTCTCCTACACAGGACTGACATTCAGACCAAGGGATGGCTTAAAAGTCATAACATAAAATTTAAAGTATACATAAAAAGGGCTTAACGTCACATTTTTAACTTCATAAATGGTTAAACGATGATGGCGGTGTATTACCTTAACATGATCTAAGATCACCAGCGGACCATTGACTCCTGATACTGTCTTGTATGCTGGGAAAAAACAAAAGAGTCAGCTTTAGTCAAATAGGAAAACAGCCTCAAGTACCTCCCTGGGAGTACACAAAAACCCCTCTGCTTTGTCACACCTACTGCAATACGGAGCGCTCAAAGAGTTACAACACTTTTCATGGAATGTATTAAGTATGGCTGCACGTGCACAACTTTTTATAACCTACCCACATCCAACCAAAACCATCGGAATCCTTACTATGAGCAAGTCACAATGTTTTAAGGACCGAGGATACAAAACCAAAAAAGACGCAGAGGAACAGATTTCCCTCAAGAATTCCCGTTTCTTATGGAGAAGAGGGTGAGGGCTCTAGCAGATGTGTGGGGGAGGCGGAGCGCAGGAACAAGCCAACAGCACTTCTTAACTTGAAGAGGAAAGGAAAGCTTTGTAGAGGAGGTGGCACTTACCAAAGTACAGAAGGAAGGGGAAGGGAATACTTAACTTTAAGCAGAATTGACAACACTCACAAAGGAAATCTGAGAAAATGCAGCCTGTTAAGGTAAAAGGCTATCATTAAATGGCATCTTAAAAACTATGGGAAAATTGTTCTATGAAGGAGGTAGCGGGCAAGGAAATGAAAGGCCAGAGGGTCAAATAAGATAAGTATCCTTTAAAATAAAAAGCCAAATATAACCATCAGTTTAGAAGCTTCTGTTTTCCGCGGACGATTATGGCCGCTCTGCAAGGCAGCTAATCCCCAGGGTGGCCACCCCTCAGCCACAGCACACCTCACCCCCTTGTCGAGTATAATGGCAACGAGGTACGAAACAGAACACTGAAGAGAGGGATTATAAAATCGGATGGACTAAATTTCATAATCAGAACAATTAAAAAAACAAATAAAACGAATGTATTAAAAAAACTTACAAGGCCTAAAATAATTTCTAAGACGCTGTCAACCACCTGGGAGCGTTTCACTTGCTTGGTTTCTCACTGAGTCTCGGGCAGAGATTACTGGCACAGACGCGGACTCCCGAGAATGAGGAAACCATTTAATAACCAGTCTGTCCACTCAAGGGGCTCCAGGACTCAGAGACACACTTCCTCAGCCAGGAAGCGGGGCCCTGGCAGAAACACGGGGCGGGGCAGGCCAACACCACCGGGGCCCCTGGCCTCCGCATCACAGGCACTTAAATCCTGGCAGCTACTGTTTGCTCGAGTGTGTCTGTAATTGTAATTATCTCATCAGAGGCTCCACGATGACCTTTTTTTTTTTTTAACTATAGACAAAGGGCAAGTCACTTTAAACTAAAAAAGTTAAGTTACTTGAATAGATGGTAAAAGAATGAGCCATTCCTCAAAAATTATTAGAAAGACCCCCAATTGTCATATTTGCTGCAACTTTTATGAAAATCCACTCCACTGTTTTAAAATAACCTAATACTCTTAAAAAAAAATTCCTATCCCTAAAAAATGATTCATTGTTCTCATTTTAAGAGTCCAAACATTCTATCGATGACTTTCTAAAATTGTTATGTGGAAATGCAAGTGAGCTACATTAGAAACAACTTTTCTTAGAACCCAGTGTTAAAAATACAGAAACAAAAACCTTTTCAAACCATTTACCCAAACAGCTGGGAATGAAAGGAGGGGCTATTTATAAGTAAATGTAACACCAATAAAATCCTTCAGGTTCTGAAAGCCTCCTTACTTTTCAGAAAAGATTTGCATCTCCTTTGAACTTCTAACCTCTAAAACAGCGTTTCAGAATCTCGTGCTTAAATTCCAGCACATTCAAAATTATGAAGTTTTGCCAGTCACGAGCAAAAGCATGACCAAGAAAAAGAAACACTAGTCATTGCTTTTCCTGGAAACAGTGAATAAAGCTGACTTCTACACAAGACAAGGTTCTTATGCATCAAAGGCAGTCTCTAAATTTGCAATATATGTAGCCTTTAAAAAAATTTTAATGTAAATTTTATTTTTCAATTACAGTTTGCATTCAACATTATTTTATATCAGTCTAAGGTGTACGGCATAGTGGTTAGACAACAGACCATCATGTACTTTGCAAAGTGTTCCCCCAATATCTCCAGTACCGACTGGGCACGATATCATTATGGACTATTCCCTATGCTGTAGGTCACATCCCAGGTGGCCTTTAAAGAAGCCAGTAAGTAACCATTTGAATTTATTAATACCAACACTCTCAATATACATTTCATAAGTATTTGCCAGAAATTCTTATTTAATCTCCATAACAGGTCTATGAGTTAACTAATATTAACCCAAGCTTTAGAAGAGGAAAATGATTCTCAGAAATTAAGCAACTTGCCCGAGGATCTGGCTCCAGAGTCCTGTGTTCTCCAACTCTGAGCTGCAGCGCAAATTCTGACACTGTACTAGCTGGATGTCGCAGTCGGGTACTCTCATAATTACCTACAGCTATACTACTCAAAACAGCTTCCTGAGTCTGCATCTTCAGCTACAAAAAAATAAGTTGACTATTTAATGCACTGGACAATGATTCCCTTTGTGTCCGCACTTTGTCTTTACTGCAAAACAACCTTTCTTCAATGGAGTGTAGCAACTGGAGAGTTTAAATAGAGGAAAGACTGATCTACTGGAGATGCTTCAGCAGAGTTCCCTCCCTGGAAAACACGAAAGACAGGAGGGGACTACAGCAGATACAATCAGAGGTTAAGCAACACGCCTGGTTTAAATTAAACTGGCACACACACTCACCTAGTAAGTGTTATAACCCAAACTAAATAAAAAACATTACCAAACAAAACCCTGGCAAATGCATCATATTTCTGCAGAGTATCTTTAGAAAGGTTAATTTCAGCTTCACAGAATACTGGGAGGTAGGAAAGGCTGATACATCCATTCCAAGCTTACAAAGGCTCTGAGAAATCTGTTACTAAATGGGAAAGCCAGGATGAGAAGTGGCTTTGTTTGTTTTGAGGTTGTTCCCACCCCGCATTCTCAAGTTGGTTCTCTACGACCCTAAAATACTTCTGAACTTAGTCTCCAGTATAATTAAAAAATATGGAGATGACACAATTCTGAGCATTTGGCCTACTTGGACTATGAATAAATACTAGAAACAGTTTATATACAAACAATAGCTCTTTTCCATAATAATAAAACTATTTGCAAAGAAAAAAACTACCAGAAAAAATGTTATCAAACAATACCTTTTATCTGTTGCAGTATTTATATCCAGCGTTCCACACCATTACCGTCAACAGCCCAAAGCAGAGAGAACAGTTTAGAGTAAGGCTGCCAAAGACATTAAGTTGCTTTTCAAAAACTAAAAAACCATTCACAGGTTACATGAACACTTCTATTTACCAAAATAAGGACCATTCCTCTCTTGAAATGTTCCAAATGAACAAGACCTTGGATCTGGAGGGGATGAGCAGAACTTGAGACAACACAGCAGACACATGCTTCCATTATATGCCAAACACATTTTACACCAACAAGTCACATCTTCGATTCTGAACTATCAAGCAGACAATAAATATGTATGGAGTGACATTTAAAACCAAAATCTACAAAGGTTTTTAAGAAGCCTTTTTCTCAGATGACATCCTCTGCCTCCTGCAGGATATAAGATTGTTCAAGACTACGAACGCCATTTAGTGATTGCGAAATTTTTAAGGAGAAAATTGACAGCCATTGCACAAGCGATCTAGTCCTTCAGCCTCCGCCTTATTAGCAAAACAAAAACCCAGAGCAATCATCTTCCATTGTGCAAGAAGAGTAGATACCCACACCCTGAGCAGTGGGAGCTGAAAGCAGTGGGCGCTGAAAGCAGTGGGCATTGAGAAAGAGGTTCTAGAAAAAGGCAGGCCAATGACCCCTTCATCTGACTTTTCTGGGGCTATGATGTCAGAAACATAAGGTTAGTTAACCTAGGGACTCAAGAATGATGCCGATTATCTAATTCAAAAGGTAGAGTGTCCAAAGCTCTATTATATGATTGAGCCTTGCTCAAAATTTAAAAGAAAATCATGTTTCCTTTCCTTGTGACTTCAGGAATTCAATTAAAGTACTCCAGATTATATAAAGCCTGCATATCCCGTTTTCCAGTTCTTGTTAACAGCCCCATAATCCTGAAGTTGTTTTAAAACAGGATCCAATCTGCACAGTGAACTGCCAATACCACTCCACTGCTTCATTCAAACAGCACACATTAAATAACTGTAACATCACTGCCTAGGATGGTATCATCAATCTTTAACTAGAAAAATTAAGAGATTAATATTTATTCACAAGCAATTAACACTGTTAACTAGAATCAAGAATGTGGCAATAGAGAAAAAAAAAGATGGTATTCTGCAAATGTGGTTAGCTGTTAGCCTAAGTATGACATCATTGACATTTTTTAGTGTAACTCGACAAAGGGGGACTCAACTCAATCAAGTAGCCCAACTCCCTACTCGTGATTCCATTCACGTTAAGAATCTACCCACTAAACTTTTAGAATAAGGGGTTTAAATGCAAGTTATAAAACAAATTATAAGACACAGTACTTCTAAGTGTCAAGCAATGGGCGAGGAACTGAGGATATGAAAAGGATTCCTGACCTCTAAAGGTTCAGTTTTAAGCTTTATGTTGTAACAATTCCGTCAGGAGGAATCTCATCTGGAGAAGTTCCTCAGTCGCTGGCTAGGCACACAGAGATAAAGTAAGAGCTTACAACTTTAATCATGGAGAACTCTCTAAACAATGTCATTACTTCAGCTGATACTCTGAACTGACACTGAATGAATAAATATTGAAAACTGACTACTGCACCTGTATAATCTTTTCTTAGAAACACCACTAATGTCTGCTATGTTCTGTATGTACCCAAAGCAAAACACACAAATACAATTCATAAGTGAATTCATAATTGTTAGCTATGAAGTTGTTAAAGTCAACGTAAGAATGCAACATCTGTCAACTTTCTGAAACATCTCTATTAGCTTATTAAAAAAAAACCCAATAAGCATTCTCTAATTCAGATAATTCCCAGTGTAAAAAGCACAACTCAGCAAACCGTAGAATCAAGTGTTTTCCTCTCCACATACTGCAGTGCTGTCACGTGACCCAGTGACAGATCAGGATGGGATTAGTCAGGCAGGAGAGAAACCTTTCATCTGAAATTCTTTTTAACCAATGAGCCACCCACAAACAGGCACTCTGGCAATTAACCAGTGCAAATACAGTCCTGCCATCCGGGGGAACATCAGGTGCTTTCCCAAGTTTTGAGTCTATTTCCAGGGCTCATCCCCAGTTCCTAAGAAAGCTGTGAAGGCATATGATGCTACACAGCTGTACTGTTTCGTAATCAAGCACCACTTCTTGAGCAGTTCACTTAAAGCTGGTTTGTTAAGGCCTTTTTATAATCCCAACACTTAAACATGCCTATGCATACGCTTTGCATAAATCACGCTATGTAAGCAAAGAGGCTTGATTTCCCCAAGGCAGCCTTGCACTCAACCACGTCAGGTTAACTGGACAGTAAATGATGAGGCAATGGTACAAAAAGGCCCGGCAAGAATTAAGAAACCTGGCATTGCAGTTCCTACTCTGCCAATAATTAGGTGTCTAAAGCCTGGCAAGGGCTGTCCCTCTAGGAACCTTAGGCTCGTCACTGTAAAATGAGAGGGTTAGACTAGATAACCCGCGGGGTACTTTTCAGCTCTAGCGTTCCGTGGTATCTAGGTGTCCTGCTGTGGAGCAGCCCTCCACCGAACATCTCCCTCTGACCTCCATCCCCGAAAGGCCTGACCACGTCAGCGATGGCACTTACATCTTCGCCCGCGGCAGGGGCTGCCCTGAGGTCCATGCCAGTGAGAGCAGCTAGGGAGGGGCGTTCCCGCGACCACTAAGTACCCAAATGAGGTCAGGCGAAGATGAAGATCAGAGTGACACGAAGCGGCCTTCCCGAGGAAGAGACAGGAAGCAAGTGCCTGAGAAAGCTCCAGCCGAGGGAAGTTGGAGAGGGCGGGGCAACAGTCAGGAGCCCACCAGCCCCAGGAAAGTTCCCGCTGGTGCTCCTTCCCTCGCAGAAATGTACGATACACTCAAACCTTCTTCTAGAGAGAGGCTTTGTGGGTGAGGGTAAGGGGGACGCGAAAGGAAAAAATGAATAACTCATCCCCCACCCCCAAGCCGCTGGCTAAGCAGGTGAGTAGGAGCAAGGGGCTGGACTTCGGAGCAAAGACAGGATCCATCTTGCTCTCTGATACTCACTGAGGCGAGGCTGGGAGAGGTAGTTCCGGCTCACTGCCAGCGCCTGCTCCCGAGATCCCGCCGCCGCCCCACTGGTGGGCACCGGTAGCTCGGATGCGGCCCCGTTCACAATTCCCCGTATCACTCGCAGCGCCATCTTGTCTCCTCCGTCCCGACTGGCCCCGCAGCAGCGCCGCGCAGGCGTAGATATAGCAGGGGCAGCCCGCGCACCCGGCTCCGCCCATGCGCGCTGCGGCACCGCGGCCTCGCCCCGCCCCTTTCGCGGCACTCCGCTGGCTTCCTCGTGACTAGGCATCCGCGTGGGCGGGACTGAGCCTGCGCGCCAGCTGCGAGGAGCTGACCAGCGTGCTGGGAGGGAGGGACCGTGGCCGGGGCTGGGAAGCAGAAGAGAAAGAGGGTCCCAGAGAGAAAGGCAAGATTTGGGGGAGAAACACAGGAAACAAGAAAAAGGAATGCACATAAGGGAGAGAGTGGGGGTAAGGGACGGAGGGGGCGGAAAAGCAAGCGCGTGCAAGAAAAGGTCAAGTGATGTCCACTTTATAATGATACTTCATGACGTTGAATGAACTCAAGTTCTAAAAACACACTTTGAAAAACAAAAGCAATAAAGAAGTACAAATAGGTAGTTACAGAATAGCCATGGGGATATAAAGTACTGTGTAGGAAATGGAGTAGGCAAAGAACTTACATGCATGACCCAGGGACATGAACAATGGGGTGGGGATTGCCTGAGGGAGTGGGGGTGCTGGATCGAGGGGGGCAAAGACAGAAAAACTGGGACACCTGTAAGAGCATAATCAATAAAATATATTTTTAAGAAACCTATTCCAGTGATTATTAAATTCGGGTGCTATGTGCCATCACTTCTTTTACTTTACTATCTTCCTGTTCAATTCATTCACTCGTCTATCATTCAAAAACCATACATTGGACTGTTTTAGGGTGGTGGTAGCAGGGTCAAAAACAAAGCGGAACGTATTTGAAAACTAAGAGTCAGAACTAACAAGAATAACCAGCTGGCTGTGGGCGGTGACGGCCCTCGCAGGCTTGGGGCCTGCGTGACTGAAGGGACTGTGGCGGGGAAGCAAGTGAGGAAGCTCGCTGCTGGTGCAAAGAGGAGGAAAAAGAGGAAAGCTAACTACTTGGGGGCTCTCACAAGTTTCCTGTGGAATAGTCAAAATGAGATCTCTTTGAACTATGTAGATAAATATCTTAGGAGACGATAACTGGGCTGAACTGAGATCAAAATTTGTGTCTTATCGTGCTGGTGATAGGGAAATAGAAGAGATTAAAAAAGAGAGTGTGTGTATTGTGGGAAAATGCTAAAGGAAAAGTTGATCACTAAGGATAGGGTGTGAACAAAAGAAGAGTATACTGCAATCAAACCTGGACGGATACTAGAGTTATAGAGAACCCACAGGACACATCCTAGAAGCAAAAAGAAGAGAAAATATCGAGGAGGGGTTATTGAATAATTCCAAAAACCAAACAGAAGGCAGTAACAGGAGCACTCCAAGCATCCACTGTGTCTGACCATTAGAAGATTTGTGTTACTATGGGAAGACAGGTGCTTAATGAAGAACAATAAAAATTTTTGCATAGGTAAAAGTGTTAGGGTTTGAAATGTATACCATGGTGGTATATTACAAATGAAGTGAAAATTAGTTATATAAAGTCTATTTTAGGTGTATCTCATTCTTTTGAACCACACTACTGAAGCAAGTATTCTTTAATTTTGAGTGAGAATGAACATCACTTAAGTATATCTTACAATTAAAGAAAAGGAAGACAAAAAGAATTAAAACCATTTTGTTTTGATTCATGAGACTGACTACAGTTTTTAACTAATGTCCAAAGTTGGCAAGAGATTAAGGAAACAAAAATTTTCACATATTATTGCTAAAAGTATAATTGGTATGCTATCTAGAAGAGCAATTTGGCGGTATCAGACTCAAATATTTCATTGTTAGAAACATAACCTATCCTTAGAAAAATTCTATGTATTATGTGAGTGTGTATGATGAATATTTCTACTTTTAATTTAATAACCTATGTTTTTTCAATCTTTTAATGTTTGCATTGATATTTTCAAATATAATATGTGACATCTTTTCTGTAAAAATGATAAATTTCTTCTCATGCTAATTTTTCACAGTAATAGGTAAATAGGTAAAAAAAATAGGTTAGCTATCATTACACCTTTTATCTTTTTATTTTAGGAGTAATTCAAGACATTTGCTTTTTTAAAATTTTTATTTACTGATTTGAGAGAAAGAAAAAAACATTGATTTGTTGTTCCACGTAGTTATGCATTCACTGGTTCTTATATGTTCCCTAACCAGGGATTGTACCTGCAACCTTGGCGTATCGACATGAGGCTCTGACCAACTGAGCTACCTGGCCAGGGCTCAAGATGTTTACTTTTTTAAAATTTTTCTTTAGTTTTTTACTCTGTGAGCAGGAATTAGTTCTGGTCCATAGCACATAAACAAAGTACTAACCCTAACATTTACTGAACAAATATTTGAATAACTAATTATGTGTACAAAGTCCCTGTCATGGCAGCACTTACAAGAGGGGAAAAGTAAAAAACAAACAAATAAAAAAACAAACAAAAAAAACAACACCCGAACATATTAATAAAGTGCCTGGTAGAGACAAGTGTAATGAAAAATAATAAACAGGATGTGTGGTAAGAGTGATAGGAATAGAAGATTTTAGATGGTATGGTCAGGGAATACCCCCTCAGCCATCTGAGACCTAAAATGCGGAAAGAAAGTCATGGGAATTTCCAGGAGGTGTGTGATCCAAGTAGAGAGAAGAGTAGGTGGAAGAGTCCTGAGTCAGAAGGAAAGTGGAGGCTAGAAAGGATTAAGCTAAACAGAGAGCGGTAGGAGAGAGGTCCAGGTCAATACGGCCTTGGAGCTCTGGATAGGGGTTTGAATTTTATTCGTAGTGCTATTAGAGAGTCTTATAAAGGGATAATGTGCCCTGATTAGGCTTTAAAAAGACTTTTGTTTTATTGGGTAAAACATGAACTGGGGCAAAAGGCAAAAGCGCCACAGACAGAGCAGCTAGGAGCCGCCTAGGGGAGCGCCGAGGGCTCGCGCCTGAGCGACGGCCCTCCCCCAGCACAGCTGCGCTGCTCCCTGACCGCGCCTGCAGCTCAGAGCTCGCCGCGGTCGCGACGGCGCTGGAAGCTGTCCTTTCAGGATTTTCTCCTCTGCTGTCCGTATCTATAACCCAATATGGAATCAAAGGGAATTGGCAATGGGGATGTAGGGAAGAGTGCAGTTGGGAGAAATATTGTGAAAGAACAAGAGCTAGAGATAAGGCCAAGATTGCTGTAAAACAAGGGTCTAGAACTGAGGAGGCATGGAAATACGAAACTTTATGGAAAATGCATGCATATAGACACTTTCCATGGAGATAATCCATAGATTTCACTGAGATTCTCAAAAGAGCCTGAAACTCTTACAGAAAACAAAATAGCTCAGCAGCATCCAATAACTGGAAAAATGATATCTTTGTTTATAGACACCCGTGTGTTAAATTATATTTCTATCTGGTAGTCTCAGATACTCACACTTGCATTACCTGACACCATCTTTAACTTCTTAGACAAATACAATTATTTTTATTTGATAACTTTTTGTGGTCTTATGATGGTATCTGTGGAGAGTGTAGGTAGCTTCAAACATTAGCCAGCTGAAATTGAACATGAGAGTTTCTCAGAGATATTTAAAGCATTAATATTTAAACACTATTTCTCAAGTTTTTCAAAAAGTATTTCCTTAACATAGAAGAAAGACAAAGGTTAAAACAAATATTTTACACATAAAAATGCAGGTAGGAAATTGTAGAAAATGTTACTTTTCCTAATAATAAAGAAATTCAAACAGAAACAACCATGAGATTCCACCGTCTCTATGAAATGAGCAAAACAAACCCAGCGATTCTTCTTTAAGTGCCGGCAGAGTTAGGGACTAAGAGGTGTGCCAACACACTTCTCCTGGCTTTGTAAACTGGGACCTAAAATGCAGAGAAGAAAATTGCTTTCTTCTGGAGAGAAAACCGACATGGGCCAGGGGTCATAAACTTGTTCATCATGTTTGATCCAATGATATGATTTGGCAGTCTCAAAATGGGATGGGCTATTAACCAAAAGAGTGTGTTTATAGCTTGTTAGGGCAATACTATTACTCATCATAGTGGAATATCTAACAATGGACAAGGATTATGTATTTAATGGATACTGGCATGCATAGTTAGGAGGATGTAAGTATATGGAATTATTTATACAAGATAATACTGAGTGAAAAGGCTAAATTTATATAGACCAGTTGCAATAGTATAAAACAATTTTATCCACTAATAAAAAAAAAATCAGAAGACACTGTGCTGCCATCAAAATAACTGAGAATGCCATTTTGGGGGCAGATCTCGTTTTTCCTTCTATAATGAACATCAAACATTCAAAGTCACATCCAATGCTCACACAGAGAGCACTGGGTAGGGAATGGGGATGTGAAACAGCACCATGGTTAAGAGGCTCTAGAGCCGCAGTTAAAGTCCCAATTTTATCAGTTATCCTTGAACAAAAATTTGCCTGTTTGCTTACTCTCTCTTAAGTCTCATTTACCAACTGAGGATCATAGTTGTACCTTCTTCATACACTTGTTGTAAACATTTAAAAAGATTAATGCAAAATTTTTGGCATAGCAAGGGCTAAATATGTTTAGCATTATTATTACATAGTTTGGTGTATTGCTTGATCAAATATTTACATATTAATTACTATGTGTCAGGCTCTTTTCTAAGAGCTTTTATAAATAACATATCCTCCTGACTAATTTGTATTAAGCAGTGACTATATCTTATAACTTTCTTGTGTCTTCTACCTACAATATTCAGCAAGGTAACCTGCCTATAGTGTTAATACCTACTAGATGACTGAAAATGTGTTACTCCTTTCTTATGGATAAGCAGTCCTCCACCAATCTTGTTCATATGGAGGGGTTTTTCCCCAGGAATACTCGGCCCACTCAGACAGTATTCTGGTTATTGGCCTCCTATTATTTGCTGAAATCCTGTCCTTACTTTATTTCCTAGGGGTGCAAGGCTGGCTGGCCCCAGCAGTAGGAAATGTGGTCAGAA